TTTTTTTTTTTTTTTTGGAGTTGGAGTTGGAGTCTCACTCTGTCGCCCAGACTGGAGTGTGGTGGCCACTCCCAGCCACCGCAGCCTCGACCTGCTGGGCTCCGGCAATCCTTCCGCCTCAGTCTTCCAAGTAGCTAAAACTACAGGTGCGTGCTACCACGCCCGGATAATTTTTTATTTATTGTAAAGATGAGGTCTCGCCTGCCCAGGCGGAACTCAAAACTGCGGGCTCAGGCAATTCACTCACCTCAGCCACTCAAGGCACGGGATTACAGGCTGAGCCACCGAGCCTGGCACCATTTCCTATTTCTTGCCTTAAAAGGAACCCACCTGGAAGCCTGAGGCAGAAGGATCACCAGAGCCCAGCAGGTGGAGGCTGTGGTGGCCGGGAGTGTCCACTGCACTCCAGTCTAGGTGACAGAGTGAGACTCCAACTCAAAAAAAAAAAAGAAAAAAGAAAGGAACCAACCAAATATGGCAGACCTAGGAACGTGGCCTCCTGGGACATCACTTGCTCAATTTTCATCATTCCTATAATCTAGAGAAACTATTGTACCTTGTTGGGAGCCAGCCATGGAGGCCCACTGAGTGTTATGGATCAAGGAGGGCCGTTGACCCCAAGACCACTAGGATGTGTTCAGGAGCTGTTGACCCCATTACTCCCCCTTTCTACTTAGCACTATAACCAGAAAAATCTCCTGTGAGCTCAAACATAAAAACTCTCAAACCAGGACGAACACAAGCTAACTTTAGAAGCTCATTGTTTCCATTCTTCTACAAACTGCAGTTCTGGGTTTCAACAACTTACAGGTCAAAGTCGGGTCACATCTAAGACCCTTAGTACTGGTCACAGGCTTCTGGGTCATGGTTTTAGGATTTATTGAAGTTGAGTAAGGTGTAAATTGTAGAATACAGTTTTAGAAATATAAGTTTAGACAGCCATTTTGTTGAAAAAATGCAGCTAGGTTACTTGCAGGTAGCCCATTGTGAACTTTGGACTGGACCACATTCCAAACATTCTGAGATGGGCCACTTTAAGTTGTAAAGTAAGTATTTAAGCATCTATAGAATCATTTAGTATATATGTTAGTATAAATTAGCATAGGATGAAAAGGGTTTATAGGATAGGTCAGTCATGGATTAAGGTTAGCTGTTTGTTATGGGATTTTCTTCCTCATACCTGAAAGAATATCTGGTGGGTGGGGGACACTCCTTACAGACGTGGCTTTGTGTTCTCATGAAAGACATGTGAGTATAAAAGCCCACTGTGAACACTCAATAAAGTCTTCTGCTCAAATACGAACAGTTGTCCAAGTCTCTGTCTCTGTCTCTGTCTCTCTTTCTCTCTCCCTTTCTCTTTCTCACAATCACCAATACCGTCTTCACCTTTGGGAACCCCTGGACTCTGATGGAGTTGGACTCCCGCAGTACCTTGAAATCATACCCTAGTGCCATCTGCTTGGCCTCAGACTTCTGCTTCATTGGTGGTCAAGTAATGGCCACTCAGAATATGGAAATTCAGCCATCATTGCCTCCTTGAGTGGATAAGGTCGATGGCTGGTCTTTGGGTTTCTGTCCACCCTAGTCAAGGTGACTGGTTGCTTTTCAAGCCTGGTGACATTACTGTTCTGGCCCCGCTAGACAGGAGTGGGCCTCAGGAACCCACAAACTATGCCTAGGGTTCTCACACTGCCTTGGGCAAAATCCTAGTTTTGGTCAGGGCCACATGTTCACTGTATGCTTATCCTAGATATCCCTAGTACAAATGTTCTCCCAGAGGCCAGAGGAGGCTAGGTTAGGCCCCTGGTGTAAGACTTGTTCTCTTTAAGGAAGGCACTGTCACAGGTGTTGGTCAGCATGAGGAACAAGACATGCTGCTGAATGGCTGAGGTTTTGGCAATGCCATACTCACCCTCCCATCCCAGGGCTTCCATTGTCCACCTTTCTTGTTGACACTGATTTCATTGGGCTGAGGAGTTATGTGGACCTTTGGGGCACCTTGCTGGGTGCTGCCCTGACTTTTTGGGGGCCATGTGGGTTACTTTCTCATAAGAATGTTAATATGTAGGTGTCACTATAAGAGGATATCTCAGTATTTACTGTGGACTGGGCAGGCCCTGGTGTTGGAGGCTCAGTGGGATAGCAAGGCGAGGTTGTCCTGTGTCCTTAATCTTACAGGGAACCTAGGAAAAGACAGGAATGCAGCATCCTTGTTCAAAGCTGTGCAATGAAAACCATTGACTCCTGATCTCCAGATGCCTGGGGAGTTTCAGGACCAAATTTCAAGCAAGAAATCATCAAACAGCCATGGTCTGTTCTGAGACAAGGGTATGCTGGCCACACCTGAGCCTCCAGGCCCCTGGAAAGCAACCTGTTTTCCTGCAATCAATGCAAGGTCCTACCTGCAGTTGTGCCTCAGTTTGGGAATCAGTCTAGTTAGGTAACATCGGGCGAGGATGGCTACTAATTGAAGGGTGCTGCTACATTTGTTTTTAGCTGGAATCTCACTCTGTCATCCAGGTTGTAATGCAGTAGCATTCATGCCAACCACAGTGTCAACCTGTTGGAGTAGGTGATGCTTCTACCTCAGCCTTCCAGGTAAGTTGGAAATACAGGCACATGCCACCATGACAGTTCTTTCTTTTTTCCTTCCTTTCTTTATCTCTTTCTCTCTCTCTCTTTCTTTCCTTCCTTCCTTCCTTCCTCCCTCCCTCCCTCCTTCCTTCTTTCCTTCCTTTCTCTCTCTCTCTCTCTCTCTCTCTCTGTGGGCTCAAGCAATCCACTCACCTCTGCCTCCCAAAGTGCTGGGATTACAGGTTGAGCCACTGAGCCCAACCCAATTTTTAAATTTATTGTA